GCCATATAGGGCTTATGATATTTCGTTTTCTCCAGCAATACGAAACTGTTTTTGCTTACTCTTGTCACTCTTGTGCCATTTAGATGTTGCTGATGTACCTGGCTGTCAATATTTTATGGTGGTAGAACTCATTAATAACTATTCTTAATGGGTTACCAAACACCCCTCTTTACTGTCTAATTTTTCGTAAAATCTCAATGCCGCAGAAAGGGAATAATCATTGGTGTTCAGAAACATATTGTGCGTCGGAGGTAAACGGGGAAATTAAAGCCGCTTTGACGCGTACAGTCGTGTAGGACCACATTTGTAACTGCTTCTTTTTATTTTTACATCTTAAGTGGATTGTATACAAACGTGAAATGTGCAGTATTTATTACTTACTTATCATTTAATTTTTCATATTTTGTGCTGGGAACTCAATCACAGTTCTTCAGTTTTTTATGGCTTCTTTGCTGATTGTCTTGGAAGGTTTCAAAGTTGTATTGACATTGGAGTTATAATATAGCACTCTGAGCAAAACTGATATTTCAGATTTATTTCTGGAAATCTAACACTTTTTGGTTCATTTTGTTGCTGACCTCGTTTGGAGGAGGGTAATGATAGTTTGGCTCTACTGTTGAAATGACCACTGACTTAAGTTATATTGTATTCAACAGAAGATTATTCTTTTTATAATTTCGCAAAAACTCAGTGTTGGGAAGATCTTAATATTTCACAGCTAAAGGATTTTAACCATAGACAGTAATATTTTAGTTCTTTGTTAGTTGAGTATACCTAAACAGCTGCTTGGTCACTGTCATTGTCAAAATTAGGCTGATTCTTGATATTATACTGAAGGGCAGACTGTGCCACTTTCTCGTTAACATCATTGGGTATAAAAACCGTGTTCCGGCATTAGAAGTTTTGAAAAGACCTGCTTCTGAAAAATGTTATCAGATTAGTAAATGTCATTATAATCGCAACCGTGCTTTCTTCTTGGACAACGGAGCGTTTCACTAGGACCAATTGTTGTGATAGTTGCTGATTTTATGGGAGATGAGTTTTCATTATCCTACTTGAAAATAACAGTTTTCAGGTTAGTAAGTTTCATTATAATGGCAACCGTGGTTTCTTTTTGGTCAGTGGAGCATTTGATTTGGAGCGATTGTTGTAATAGTTGTTGGAGATGAGTTTTTATTATCCTGTCTGAAAACGACAGTTGCAGGTTATTTTGAATTTAAATGAAGCTTATTCTGTAAATTTTGATTATTACTTCTTTATTTTAAGTAAGTAGCGCATTAGAAGAAAGTACTAATGTTTTCTAATCTTAGAATAATTGGTCAAATTTTTTGTTTTTGTTGTTATTACCAGTTTATTTATTTATTTATTTTTTTTGAACGCGTGGTTTCTCAGTAATCATTGGGACAACTTATTGTAACTTCGTTCAACAAAACCGCCAAACTGGCTCTGATTACTGGCAAGAGAAATTTTTATTTTATTTTTTTGCTTGATAACTGCAATCGGAGAAGTTCAGATGAATTGTGGCGAAGATCTTTGGGAGTAACCAAGAAAAATAGTATTTGTAGTTAAGTTTTATGCAGCCCTTTAAAAAAAGTGAAGGAACATGTTTTACTTTTTTGTAAATATCTTCTTTTTACTCTTATGTTTTTAAAAGGAAATGAAGATAGAACATTGTTGCAAACAGCAATTGTTTCACGTGTACCGGTGATTAGAAGCATTATAAGGAAACATTTTTCATTCAGCATTTTAAGGTAGTCACTGAGCCGTTTTTTCCAAATCAGCACGTGTCATTTGATCCTAGGTGGTTATCTTTTTTTCGCGTATCTTGTGACCTTTGGTATGAACTGAAGTCTAATCGTATTGATTATTCTGTTCTTGTTCGTCCATTTCGATCTTTCACTGTAATTATTTCGTATAACTATTTGTAGAGGTGTTTTAAGGTATGTAAACGACAGCTTTAAAAAATTCTATAGGAATGTTTCAGGTAGCCGTGCAGGACAGACGGCCCAAACCTTGTTGTTCTCTAGAGTAGAATACAAAGATAGGTTTCAAGGTCTCTGTCTCTGATATTACACGGGTCCTTTCTGTTCTCTAGTGTGCTGCGCCATGGTTCTGATTTCTTGAACATAAGCCACAGTGAACTGAAGTATGTCAGTAATTTAACTGTTTCAGTAAATTCTAAAAACGTTTTTATGTATTTGGCTTTCTGGAATTTCATCAGCGTTTGCTTTTTAAAGTGACAGAGTGATTTAAATTGTAAGGCTGAGACATCACTTTTTGTGAGCGTAGTGAAAACGAAACAAGTTCATTTTTCCAATCTTCTTCTGTAGATCATTTTTGCTGGAAAGATAGAAACTATCAGATAAATATCAAAATTTTCTTGCACGGTCAAAGAATTTTAAGCGTTGTGTCGCTTGATTTGGCTTAAGCTGTCAATGCGATATTGGTAAAAAAGATATTTCCCTACTTTCCAGTCTTTATACTTATCAATATAATTTGAGGATAGATTTAAACTTTCAAAGAATATTGCTTTATAGTTTTTGCTATTTTTAGTATGTTTTTTTTCACTCAAAATTAAGTGGTTACTATTGTTTTGTTCTGTTAAAATGTTATTTTTAAGTGGCAATTTTGAATTTGTTTTATGCAGGGATGAAAACATTCTACGCGTCATCGATAATACTTAAATAAAGGCTTTTCGTAAGATTTTTATAGTTCTTAATACAATTCTTCATATTTGGTTACAGACCATCTATTCCTTTTGAAATATTCTAGTCTTCTTTACCTTTAAATGAATATTTGTTTTTTAGCTAGCTGGAAATACGATGGAGGATAACATCCATAAGTATGGTGGTTTTATTAATCAACGCTATATACCTGCACCTGCAGCTTATCCTACTGTACAGTATTCTGGAGAACCTACCGGACAGCCCCCGCCTCAAATTCAATATGCTGCGCAGGTAAAGTTGAGCTGTATTATCTAAAATGATAATTCACAAGTCAGTACAAAGTTTTAGACTGTACAAGCGCCTGGCATGACTCCGCAGGAAGTTGCGATTGCAAGGATTGACAATTCCATTGCAACCATGGAGGAGCAACAGCTAACAAATGATCCTCGTTATGCACAGATGTTGCAGATAAAGCAAAAGCTGACAGGTGATTTTTAAACTCAGTTGTTTGGAGTAAGTGCAGTATAGAACTGTTCCATGTATTATGTATATATTCCAGGTGTTCCGATAACCTTTGATGGGAACGTTAAACAAGAGGCAGTTGAGAAGCAAGTTCATCACGGAAATTCATTCACTGCGGAACAGACGAAGCAGTTGAAAGCTCAGGTAAATTAGAACCACATCTTTTATGTTATTCAGTTTATATTTTCGTTAACGTAATTTATAATGATTAACAGATTGCGGTGTACAAGCAGTTGGTTCATCAAGAGCCAATCACGCCGATGATGATTGCCGCAGCAGTCAACAACACGCCGAATAAAGCTGTAACTTTGCTTCCTGAGCCATATGAGTTTCCTGCCGAAGGCGAAAACGGCGAAAGGTTCCCTTACGACTTGATGCGCATATTATCAATACATCAACAACGCGCTAACAGAACTTCTGCACTTCCGCTACCTCCTGGTGTTGACCCGGTGACGATAATGAAAGAGAGAGAACACAGGTTACATTTAAATTAAGCTTCGGAGTGAGCTGTTTTGGCGACGTCATTTCCAATTGAATTTTGAGAACTGTACAGTTTTTGGAAGGGATATTAAAGAAAATTTTTTTATTTTTTTATTGGCAAATTTAGAGGAACCTACCTTTGAAATTGGAAGGGTTTTTCAGAATTCGAAGCAGAATCTCTGCTCGAATTGCTGTTCTGTCAAATTTACCACCAGACATAAGCAGTCAGCTTCGTACAAAGACTGAAATAGAACTTCGTGCCCTTCGTTTATTGAATCTTCAAACCCAAGTAATTCAGTTTTTAATTTTAGATAACTTTTTTCAATAAAATTTTAAAATTTTTTAGCTTCTTAATCTGTCGACTTTTTTGGATGTTTCAGAGAATTGCCAGTTTTTTTCAGATGCGGTCGGAAATTGTAAACCAGATTAAAAGCTACACCACTTTGGAGACCGGTTTAAACCCGTGCGCTTATCGTAGAACACGAAGACAGGCTCTAAGAGAAGCTAGGGATGTTGACGAATTGGAGAGGAAGCAGAAGGTGATTGCTTTCATTTACCTCAGAATTGTATTCTTCGTTCTTCTGCATCTATTGGATTTTTGCAGGAGGAGGAAAAGAGGCGGCGGAAGCAAAAGCACACTGAATTACTTCAGGCTATTTTGCAACATGGGAAGGAGTTCAAGGAGTATCATAGAAATAATTTGGTACATAGGTCTCCTTCAGTTGGTTGTTTCAGCAGGCTGTTGCTTTGTAATTTTATTTTTTTAGGTTAAACTGAGTAAAGTAAGGAAAGCTGTTTTGACTTATCATGCGAACAATGAGAAAGAGCGTAAAAAAGACGAATTGAAAAATGAGCGGATGCGTATGCAAAAGCTAATGCAAGAAGATGAAGAGGGTTATAGGTTCGTTTGATCTTCGTAAACTGTTTGCCCATGTTAGTTTTCAAGCTTTTCAGGTAAGCTTCAATGTCCCAATTTTCAGACAGCTGTTGGATGAGAAAAAGGACAAAAGGCTTGTGTTTTTATTGCAACAGACTGATGAATATGTTGAAAGTTTAACTGGTTTGGTTAAGCAACACCAGGCTACAGAAAAGAGGCGTAAGCGTCAAGAAAGAAGGGAACAGAGAGCCAAAGAAAAATTGCAAGGTGCATATTATCTACACGTGTACTAATAACTTATTTGTATTGTATGATGATTTACTGAATTTTTTTTTAAACCTTGGTTTAATGCGATTCTCCATCACGTTGGAACTTTCAGTTTTGGTTTTCAGAAAGACGAATGATTCTGCTTACCGCAATCTGTTAGATTTCATACACATTTTGAAAAAGCAGGAACTGTGCTTTCCAAACTATTGGTAGCAGTCTAAGCAATCAGAGATTTGTAACAGCTGCCTTACTTCAGGAGATTTGGGTGACGTCCGTCTTTATATTCGTGAAGTGGCCACGGGAGCCATGCTTCCAGCTAGTGAAGTGCCAAAAACTGAGGATGTCGAATCGTGGCTGGAAACCCACCCAGGCTATGAGGCATTTTTACATGATTTTATGTAGTAGAACTTCAGTCATATCTAATTCTAGTTTTTTGTAGTTTTTTAGGAGTCGATTGTAAAGTTAATTCTTATTTGCGTAGAAAAGTTAGTAATGTAAAGTAGAAATTTTTATAGTTGTAGTTTATGTTAATTTTTTACTTCGAAATTAATGAATTATTCTTTTACTTTTATTTCAAAACACTTGCAAAATTCAGGTTGTTTCACGTGATGAATGTGCATCGGAATCTGAAGAATCTGAAGAGGAAATCCTGGATCCTGTTCCCCCAAAAAAAGATGACGAATTTGAAGGTAATTCCACAGGACTTTAGATCATTTTTGCCTTATTGTGAAAGCTCTGTATAGCTGGAAGGTATTCAAAGTAAAATAGTGGTAAGGTTCAGCTCTGAAAATGGGCCCTGGTTTTCAGCAAGGTTTTTATGATCTGGTTCGCTCAGCTGGGTTCGGAGCAATTTTCTAAATGTTTCAAAAAGTTCAGTAGTAAAAAAGATCGTGATGGGGAATGAGCCTCTGGAATTTTTCAACTAAAATTTTATTTGAGTTATTGTGCAAGAAAATTTTTTTGCATTGAGATATAGCTGTTTTGAATTGAAAATATTTGTTAAATGGTTGGCTGGTGGTTGTCGGTTTTAAATGAAGCAGATTTACTGATTTCAAAATTTTTTGCAGAATATTCTTTAACGTTTGTATTAGATGTACGGGTAAAAGGAGGTTACAAATCTTGATTTCGAAGTAATTTAAGGGGGCTACATTTCATTACAGCTTGGAGTTGAAAGGGATTGCAGCTCAGCAATGATTTCTTTGCATACAGTAGAGATCTATAGATAGGTCCCCCTCCTCTCCTACTTTCAGTGAGTAACGCAGATTTTATTTTTAGGTATAAGATCGGTTTACTTAAATTTATAAAGGTACATTTCAAAACTAGATACACTTTGTTTTAATAAGTTTAAAAATTACAGCGGGTGACATTTTTAGGGGCAAATTGTAACTACATTTATTTGCGTAAGAAACTGTTACTGTTTTTTTGGAAATTGTACGCCGTGTTTGTTAAGTACTATGATCCCATCTACCAACTTTAAGGTCTTGATGAGGAAGCTAGGAATAGAAAAATTATCGAAAAGGCGCGTAATGAAGAAGATGAGTATGACCAAAAAAATCGAAGGCAGATTGAGTCTTATTATGCTACAGCTCATAAAATCAAAGAAAAAGTTGTCACTCAACATTCTACGATGGGCGGTGGTGATCCAAATTTGCAGTTAAAGCCGTATCAGGTAATATTTTTTCAGCTGATCAAGTTTTGCTTCGTAAGATTTCTTAGTTCCTTTGAAGGACGAGTGGTTGTTGGTGTAGTTTTGCTTCTAAAAGTGTTTTAGCTAAAAGGTTTGGAGTGGATGGTTTCGCTGTATAATAACAACCTGAATGGGATTTTGGCGGATGAGATGGGTCTGGGTAAAACAATTCAGACCGTTGCCCTTATAACTTACCTTATGGAAGTTAAGAAGTTGAATGGTCCTTATCTTATAATTGTTCCACTCTCGTAAGTTTTTTGGGAATGTCCAAGTACCAGTATGCACGCTTTTTTCACTTGATATCAAAAGATTTTTAGATCTCGCTGTTTAGAGCTTAGACCTGGAAATAAAAAGCAGAAAGAGAACTTTAAAAAGCCAATTCTTTGCCGAGCTAAATCCCCTGCAAAATTTGCCAGGTTGATGTTTGATGCGCCAATTGTGTTGCGCTCTTGTAATTCAGTTATCTCCCAATGAAGACCAATAGTTTTTGGTTCTTTAGATTTTTCGTGTTTTCCGTTTTTAATGCGCGTTGAGTGATTTAATTCTGCCGAATAATTTTTAGATAGAATAAAAATAAGGTTTCAATTAAATGTTAAAAAAAACTTATTTTTAAATCTTTACGTGAGACTGAAATAGATGTTTTGGTTTTAAGGTAATTTCACACATTCTGAAGTGGCGAAACCATTTTAGCTATTTCAGGAGGTCAGGGAGAGCGGCTATGAAAGTCCGATATATTTTAATTGTTAAAGATTGGTTTAAAAAAATGTATATTTTTTTGAAATATTAGCAAGCTGTTCTTTTGCAAAGTTGTAAGGAATAACGTTTTGCAGTAATTTCTGCTTCCTTTACGTTGTAGTTAATTGGATAGTTTATTGAGACGTATTTAGCACTCAAAAACAAAGTCAGCAATGGCATTTGACGTAACATAAACTTTATGGAAATGTAGTTTTTGGGCAAAAGATGCGTGGAACGTACGAAATTTTGCTCCATCATTTGAAAGGGCGGCGAAGAAAGAGACATCCAACCCCATAGAATCGTATCTGTAATCCACTCGTCAGAGTTCTGGTTTTACAAGCAAACATGAACTCGAATCATTGTTTTTCTTTTAATATCATTTGAGCCATTCTCTAGATTGGTCAGGTCATCAAAATTAGAAAAAACCCGGACCCAATGCTAACAAGCTGGAACAAGAGTTTTTCAAATTCCTTTGTGTCACCAAAATGTGTACTAGCTGCATAATTTAACGGAACAAAGGCGAGGAACGGAAAAAGCTGAAAAGGAGGTTATTTGTAACTTTGCAAAAGAATAATTTGCCGCTACTTTAGAGAAAAACAATTTTTCATTGATTGTAAGATGTCAGACTTACACAGCCGTCATTCGCGGCTTTCAACATCTGCTGGAAACGGTGTCGCCATCGCAAAATGTATGGGATTACTCTAAAAATAGTGCGTTATCTGTGGCGTCACGTATCTTTCCAGGTCATAACTCTCGGCCCTGAAAAAAAAAAAAAACGCATCAATTTTTGATATGTTCTAGGGCAGGAAGTCTTACACAAAACGTATTTTTTTAAAAATTTGAAAGTATACTTTTTTATACTTATATGAGATCTTTTTTTTGTTTTATTTGAGACTGTCTGGCAGAATTAAAATATTTAGTGTATGTTTGTAAGCAGAAGCTAAATAAATCTTGGTGTAACTTGGCGAAGAATCCACTTTTTTAGTTGTCTTTTTCAGTTCTTATATAACTGACCTTAGACCGTAGAAACCAACAAAAAATTCAAAAAATCTTGGGATCATACGTGATATATATATATAT